TCTGAGCAGACGGAGTACACATGGGGGCCTGCAGACCACACTTCAGACCTGAGCAGACGGAGCACACATGGAGGCCTGCAGACCACACTTCAGATCTGAGCAGACGGAGTACACATGGGGCCGCAGACCACACTTCAGATCTGAGCAGACGGAGCACACATGGGGGCCTGCAGACCACACTTCAGATCTGAGCAGACGGAGTACACATGGGGGCCCGCAGACCACACTTCAGACCTGGACAGACGGAGCACACATGGAGCCTGCAGACCATACTTCAGACCTGGACAGACGGAGCAACACATGGAGGCTTGCAGACCACACTTCAGACCTGGACAGACGGAACACACATGGAGGCCTGCAGACCATACTTCAGACCTGGACAGACGGAGCACACATGGAGGCCTGCAGACCACACTTCAGACCTGGACAGACGGAACACACATGGAGGCCTGCAGACCATACTTCAGACCTGGACAGACGGAGCACACATGGAGGCCTGCAGACCACACTTCGGACCTGAGCAGACGGAGTACACATGGAGGCCCGCAGACCACACCACGTATAGATCTGCCCCGCACCCGCTTATAAGGACCTTGCTACATCGGTCTATCGACGCCCACAAGTGCCAGCGGCGCTGCAGCCGCCACGCCGAGATTGAAAGTTCCGTGCGGTTGGGATCGAACGCGAGCTCTCTCGGGCGTGGTCAGGCGACGCCCGGCCGGCCGCGGTCGGCGCGTGACGCCACACGTACCGACGTCGGCGTGCAGGGTGCGGTCACGGCGCACGCGCAGTCCGCCCGTCTCCACCTCGCGCTCAACGTTACGGATGACCCGGGTCATCTGCGGCTCCTCGAACAGCCTGCGCACAGAGCCGCCGCCGGTGATGCAGGCGGTGTAGCGGCACGCGACAGACGCCGCCCTGCGGTGTACATGCAGCGCCTCCGGCTGTCCTCGTAACGGATGACCGTGACCGCGAACTGATCATGAATGGTGCCAAGTAGAAATCAGAGGACGGCGGCGTGAAAAACAAGGAGGCAGATCAAGAAGGGAAACCGTAGAGGGCACAGTGTACACGACACAAAGAAGAGCACTAAAAACAAGAAAAACGAACGTTGATCAGCTGTCCTGCGCCGTGCCATGATCAGCTGTCCGGCACCGTGTCATGATCAGCCGTCCAGAGCCGTGTCATGATCAGCTGTTCGGCGCTGTGTGAGCGCCACTCACCTGCAGGCGTCCATACGGAGCCGGTTGAGCCGGCGCTGGGCCGTGTACTCTCGCAGCGAGAGCGTCTCTCGTGAGGGGGCCGGCGGCACGCGCGTCCGCTTCGCCTCCAGCAGGATCCGCGCGGCGTCCACTGGCCGAGAGAGACGGACGACCAGTCAGCGGAGGCGGCCGGAGAGGAGTCACCATGGGCGGGGAGGAGTCATTACGGATAGGGAAGAGTCGCTACGGACAGGGAGGAGTCACCATGGGCGGGGAGCAGTCATTACGGACAGGGACAAGTCATCACGGACAGGGAGGAGTCACTACGACAGGGAGGAGTCGTTACGGAGAGGGGGGAGTCATCATGACCAGGGAGGATTCATTACAAATAGGGAGGATTCACTACGAGCATGGAGGAGTCCCACGGACAGGAAGGAATCACCATGACCAGCAAGGAGTCGCCACGGACAGGGGGAGTCATCACGAACAGGGAGGAGTTACCATGGACAGGGGGAGTCATCACGAACAGGAAGGGGTTAATACCGAGGGGAAGGCACATTCATCATTTCACGACGCATGCAGCCCCTAGGGTCGCCAGCGTCAGACTCTGCCGGCGGCGGCGGTCTGACGTGACACGGAACTGACAGCGAGCCTCGAAGCCACGCACCCGCCGCTGACACGTACCGTGCCAAACACATCGCCTCTCGCACCACCAGCTGACGTCGCTGACCACTCCCAGGTCAGAAAACCCACCGAACAGCCCTCCGCCGTGCAGTGCGCCCGGCCCCGGTCCGCCGGACCGTTTCCCTCGCCGTGCAGTGTGCCCGGCCCCGGTCCGCCGGACGTTTCCCTCCGCCGTGCAGTGCGCCCGGCCCCGGCCCGCCGGACCGCCCCCTCCCCCGCACCTTTGACGTCGTCGCAGCTGTACTCGCTGGGCGTCAGGATGAAGTTGAGCCAGGCGGTGAAGCCGCGCTCCTGCTTCTGCAGCCAGTCCTTGTCGTAGTACATGTTGCTGGCGGCACACGCGGGCGACGTGACGGAGGCGGCTCTTGAGCGCCGCCCAGCACCGGCCCACGGCGCGGCGGCTGCGCCGCGGGTCCGCGCTCCCGGGGCAGGGCGGTGAGGCCGCCCAGACACAGGCAGCAGCCACGCTACGGCAGCGGCGCGGCGGGCTCGCGCTCTCGGGGCAGGGCGGTGAGGCCACACAGACACAGGCAGCAGCCACGCTACGGCAGCGCGCGGCGGGCTCGCGCTCTCGGGGCAGGGCGGTGAGGCCACACAGACACAGGCAGCAGCCACGCTACAGCAGCGGCGCGGCGGGCTCGCGCTCTCGGGGCAGGGCGGTGAGGCCGCCCAGACACAGGCAGCAGCCACGCTACGGCAGCGGCGCGGCGGGCTCGCGCTCTCGGGGCAGGGCGGTGAGGCCGCTCAGACACAGGCAACAGCCACGCTACGGCGGCAGCTTTAAAACGCCGCTGGACTCCCCGAAGACATGTGTAGCGATCGTGTTGTTCGGTATAACATACCGTGCACATGGAGGTATTCAACACAAACCGCTCCATCCTCAGGGTTTTCCGCGCGATACTAGCAGACCAGAAAGTCCAACATGCCTGCCTTCCACGACTGCAACAATGATTTGACAAAATTCCAGAGGGAGCAAATGCGAATACGAAATGCAAACGGCTTAACGGAAGGATTGGGACGAGTATCAGTATCACGGATGGGATAACTGGCCGGGCTATCGTCCCCGTCTGGTTATCCGTGATACGAAATGTGAGTTTTGAAACCGTCCGGCCGCTGCTGCATACGCCCCCTGCCGGGCGGGGCAGCCACACCTTGTCATGCCCATGGTGTCGTGAAGCCGCCGCTCACCTGGAGGCGAACGGGTTGGGTTTGGTGGCGACGGCTCGAGCCGGTCTGCTGAGCACCAGCCGCCGCTGTCGCACGGCCGTCGTCGCCGCCGCCGCCCGCCGGGCCACGGCACCCACTGGCCGACACAGGGGGGGGGGGGAGGGGGTCAGCTGCTGAGGTCGAACGCCGACAGACGGGCGGGCGGGGGGGGGCGGTCTGTGGTGGTGGACACTGAAGACGCACCGACGGCGCTGAAGTCAAAACGTCTGCTGATCCCCGCTCTTGCGTGAACTACGTAGCATTCTAAAGGGTATAAAGCTAACAACCATCACGCAAAAACAAATGCTGCTATTCGGCGTGCATTGGTAAAGCATTGGCATATGACGTGTAAGATCTACGGAAGCTCAAAACACAGCACAAGTCACCACTACAGCCCCAGGCGTGGCCGGTCAGTGCCGACACCAGCTACGCCACAACACTGGCTGGTGCACGCCCCACCCCTCCCCAGTCCTCGTCTTAGCGTCACCCGTCCACACGCTCCATCCCCTCCCGTCTCCTCACTCGCACTTCCCCAGCCCGTCCTTCTCCCCGCCATACGCCTCACCCCTCCCCGTCCTCGTCTTAGCGTCACCCGTCCACACGCTCCATCCCCTCCCAGTCTCCCTCACTCGTCACTTCCCCAGCCCCCGTCCTTCTCCCCGCCATACGCCTCACCCCTCCCCAGTCCTCGTCTTAGCGTCACCCGTCACACGCTCCATCCCCTCCCAGTCTCCCTCAACCGTCCCTTCCCCAGCCCCCGTTCGTCTCCCCACCTCACGCTCCATCCCCCCCCCCCCCCAGCCTCCCTCACCCGTCCATGCGCACCGTCCCTTCCCCAGCCCCCGTCCGTCTCCCCACCACACGCCCCATCCCCTCCCAGCCTCCCTCACCAGTCCATACTCACCGCCCCTTCCCCAGCCCCCGTCCGTCTCCCCACTACGCGCCCCGTCCCCTCCCCAGCCGTCTCTGCCCTCTCCCCACACGCCCCGTCAGCCCTCCTCAACCGTTCGCCCTGGCCGGCGACACCCCTCAGCCGGGCGGCGCGCCTCTTCCCGGGTGTGACGGTCAGCGCCGGGCCGCCGCGTCCGCGGCCGCGCTGCAAGCGGCCGACCGCCGCCGCCCGACGCGCCGGCCGCCGCGGCCGGTGGCGACAGTCGGGATGAACAGCAGCCCGCTGGCGCGCGCCGCGGCTCGATGGCCGGCTCGACGGAAGGCTCGACGGACGGCTCGACGGACGGCCCCGACGGAGGGCCACTCGGTAGCCGTGGTCCACTCGGCGGCGGTGGCGTCGGACGCGCAACGCCCGTCGGCGGCGACAGCGGCACGAACAGCAGCCCGCCGGCCGAGTCGCCGCCGGCGGACGGCGGCCGGCTCGCCTGGGCGGGTTCGAACACGGCGTCCGGCTCGGCGGGCCGTCCATCCGGCGCCGGCGCTTCTGTCTGGCCACATTCGTAACCGCGCGCTCCGCCTTCTCCTGCGTTGCTCCAGCACGGCGTCTCCTCCAGCGAGAAGGTCAGGTTTCGTACGGGCCGGAGGAAGGCCACCTGCCGCTCCTCCTCCCGGATGCAGCTTAGGCCCGGCGCGCGCCTGGGCTGCGTCTTTGACGGCCACACCGCTCGGAGGTTGCCGGCGGCTGCGGCGGCCGGCTGCGCCGCCTCCAACGTGGGGCAGCGCCAGCCTGAGGGCGCCTGGCGACTTGACGTACGTCTCCGACGACAGATTCCAGACACGTCCGACGAGGCGTCGGCCGCGGCCGGCGGCGGCAGGCCCGGCGCCGCCTCCGCGTCCGCTCGGTCCCAAGTGGCGCTGCGGGCGGCGCCGGCCGACGGCGCCGCCTCGCCGCGCTGCGAACACGTGTCGAATCAGCGTCTCCTCCTCCAGGATCTCCTCGTGCACACACTGGACCCGTTCGCCGGAGGCCGCGCGTCGAGCGGCCGGTGCCGTCGCGACGCGGCGCCGGCTCGTCGCCTGGGCCGGCGCGCCGTGCGCGCTCCGCCCCGGCCGTGACCCGCAGCTTGCCCCGGGCGTCAGGCGCGCCACCAGCCGGCCACCGCCCGGCTCCACGCGCCCACGTACGCGAGAGCCGCGGCGGCGTGTCTGCAGGGCCGCCGCCTCCCGCCTCTGCCGCCGACGCTGGCAGCAGGTCAGGCCCGCTCCAGAGCGGCGCCGCGTCCTCCCGGCCGGCTCGTCCGGCGGCGACAGCTCGGTCGCCGTCCGGCTGGTGTGTGCGCCACGCTCCTCGCGAACAGCTGAGGCTGTTGGCGGAACGCCGTGCCGTCCAGCACGAGCTCCTGCTGGACCGTCTGCCTGACGGAGACCGTGCACTGCTCCTCGGTGTAGCGCACGCCGCCGCGCCGTCCTCCGGCGACGGCCGGATCCGGCCCTCCTCGCCACAGCCGCCGCGCTGTCCTCCGGCTCCGGCCGGCCCCGGCCCCTCCTCGCCACAGCCGCCGCGCTTGTCTCCTGCCGAAGCGTTTTTGCCTGAACAGCGCCGGCTGTGCTCATCCAGTCGTGGTCCTGCTCGCTAGTCTCCACGTGCAACCGCCGCGCACTGCTCCTCTGCGTTCTGCGCGACGTCGCGGTCGCCTCTGGCGCCGTGGCGCTCGTGGCGCCTCCTTCCTTGGCGCTGCCGGCGCCGCGACCGAACAAAGCCGGCGTCTTCACCCAGTGCTTGCGGCGAGCTCTCTGGCCGTCGGCCGGGTTGCGCGCGCGCGCAGCCGCCGCCCGCCGGGCCCTAGCGCGCGCGAACAGCTGCTGGCGGTCTGCGAACACGAACCCCTCCTCCTCCGCGATGGCCCCACCCACCTCGGGCTCCGCCAATGTCGGGCCCGCCGCGCCGAACGAACTTCTGCCCCGCAGTGGTGACTCGGGCACGGAGCAGGGCGGCAGGGGCGGCGCGGCGGCCTCGCGGCGGCCGGCGCGGCCCGACGCCGGCGGCTCGGCCAGGAACGTATGCCGCCGCGGCGTGGCGGCGGCGGCGCCGGCGCCGGCTCGCTGCGGATCAGGCTCACGGAGAAAGTCGGGCGGCTGTGCGCAGCGCGTCCAGCAGCGTCGAGCAGTCAGGTGGACGTCTCCAGCCGGTGGGTGGAGTTGAGCGGCGCCGGTCGGGGGTCGCAGCAGGCCGTCCGCCGCCGCCGCCGCCGCTGCCCTCGGCGCCGGGCGGACGGTTCTCGCGGCCCGTCCGGGACGCCGCCGGGTTTGGCCGGCGCCGGCCGCCCGGCCGAGGTGCCCGCGTTCCGCGACTGAGGCTTCAGGACGCGGGCCCTTGGCCGATGATGTCTTCTTCTGGAAGGGAACCGACTGGTGAGTGGCGCATGTGCAGACGCGTTTCCCGTCAAAGGCTACCTTCCTTCCTCACACAGCATGAATGTAACTAGTGTTCGATCACGTGAAATTAAGCACTAGTGTTACGATCACTTGCATGGAATGATGCGACGAGCACCGATTGAGGTCCAGTGCACCATGTCGCGCACATGACCAGCACACACACGCATCGTCACACGGTTTGTCGTTTCATGGGGAGCTTGTAGTGCAAACAGCCCCAAGCGGACAACACGATTGCCAGCATCCTTAGGAGGGCTCACAATACGAACCCTATATCTAAGTCCGCCTCGGCCTTTGCACTGGATAAGCACGTGCTCTGGACTAGCCCCGCACATAGCCACACTGCGCGGGAACAGGGGCAGAAACATGGAGCATGAGACAGGCGACGGGCGACGAGCGATGGGCGACGGGCGACGGGCGACGGGCGACGGAGGGGGGGCGACGGGGATGGACGACGGGCGGCGTGGGACGGGGACGGGGAACGGGGACGGGGGACGGGGGACGGGGGACGGGGGACGGGGGACGGGGACGGGGTACGGGGACGGGGGACGGGGGGACGGGGGACGGGGGACGGGGACATGGACGGGGGACGGGGGACGGGGGAACGGGGGACGGGGGAACGGGGACGGGGGACGGGGGACAGGGGGACGGGGGATGGGGGACGGGGGTAGGTCGGGGACGGCGACGGGGCGACTGAGGATGGGCGACGAGGGATGGGCGATGGGAGACGGGGACGAGGGACGGCGGTGCGGCGGGCGGCCGGACGGGGAACCAGGGGACAGCGGATGGAGAGCCGCGGACGGGGGACGGGGGACGGTGAGACGGGGGACGGGCGGCGGCGCCGGAGACTGACCTTCTTGGTGTCAGGCGCGCGTCCCGTGCCGAGCGCAGCAACCGCCTGGCAGCGCACTCGCCGGTCGTGCGCAGCGTCCGAGCACCCCGCGCTAGGTTGCCGCCGGCCGCCGGCGTCCAGTGCACGCCAGCACGGCGTCCATCAAGCGGTTCCATGTGCAGCACTGTGCACGTCCACTCGGAAGCCCAGCGCTCGGGCACCTTCTCCACTATCAGCGGCGGCAGCGGGCGGAGCGTCAAGACACGGAGTGGAAGCGGCACGACCGGACACGTGAAAAACTATCGCACAAAGACGCCGTTGTCTCCTGGCAGACCAAAAGGTTGATTTCACGGGTATTTGCGTCGGATGGCAACAACGCGTCGCGCAGACCGCAATAAAGGGCCCGCTCCTGCTCCAACGGACAGGTCATCCTGGGTGTCACGCGAGACGGCGCTGGAGCGAGGGGTCCACCACAGGCGCGAACTCCTGCTGCGGGGGGACCAGGGCCAGGACTCAAGCGGTCCCTGCGATCCAGGGCTTCCGTAGTGCACGACTCCGTGGTCCAGAGACTCCGCGGCCCAAGACCCTGAGGTCCAGGACTCTGTGGTCCAGGACTCCGCGGTCCCACAGCCGGAGTACCTAAACGCCAGTGACGTCAGAGCTTCCGCAGCACCGAGGCTGTCCCCGAACGATGACGTCACCGTGTCTAAGTCTGCTTTCGCGTTCCAGCCCGACGAACGCCACCATCTCCAGTGGCGCCAGCGGTTGCGTCCCCAAACCTCCGCCTGCTGTGGAGCCACCTTACTGAGATTAGAGCCCCGCCGCGCCCGGAACACAAACCGCCTTCCTTTGTGATTTATTGGCGTGACTGGGCGCGCCGGCTGCAGCGGTCATTTGGCGCCAAAACAAACCGAGTCCGTTTCAAACCGTCAGCGAGCGCGGCCGCACGCCACCCACCTGGACAGGCTGCTCGGAGGGGTTCTGCACGATCAGGCCGATAGTGCGGCTCGAGCCGACGCGCACCGTGCCGAACGCCACCTTGGGCGTGGCTGCGAACCGGCGCAGCTGCAGCACGGGCACCGGCTCCGGGCTGGCCGGCGCCCGGCGCCCGGGCGGGCTCCGCCGTACCTGGCGACGCGCCCGGGGTCAGACTGGGTCAGGGGGGTCAGGCTGGGTCAGGGTGTCAGACCGGGCAGGAGGTCAGACTGGGTTCAGGGTGTCAGACCGGGGCAGGGGGGTCAGACTGGGTCAGGGGTCAGACTGGGGCAGGAGGTCAGACTGGGTCAGGTCAGATGGGTCAGGGGTTCAGACTGGGTCGGGGGTCAGACTGGGTCGGGGGTCAGACTGGGGCGATACACAGGGTTGGGTTGCTGCGGGCACGACTGCGGACACGGGCACGAACTGCGGCGTCATACAGGTCCCGACAGTCACAGTCGCATGCTCTGCCCCCCCCCCCCCCACACACACATACACACACAGAATCACGCCACAGGCATGGACTGTAGCCAGACCTGGAGTCAGGCCACAGTTAGATGCAAGCTGGTCCAATGTGCACTGTGACAGACGCAGAGCACAGCGGCATGTGGGGGCTGGGTTATCACAGGCTCAAACAGTGGTAGCCAACAAAGGGTCAAGCTGCTGTAGGTGGGCCTCAGTCACAAGTGGACTGTCAGGGACACAGAGCAGCCACACACACACACAGGGACAGACTTGTGTTATGCCTGGTACCTTTTAGCTGGCATAGTCCAAAAGCAAATGACACTTGTAACAGTGCACACATGTATCCAAGTAAGATCCAGGCCCACCAGTGCCTCCACCCCACCCAATACAGCTGCTGAGTCTGCAATGATGCAAACAATGCG